ATGAAGGTTTTCAATGTATTTAATATTTTCTGCAATTTTCTCGATTTTGACACAGTATTTTACGGTAAACTAACTTCGGTAACTTTCTTCAGCAAAACAATAGATTATAAAGAATTACACAGCCTCAAAAAAAAAAAATTCGGGTCTGGGGATCATACCGTGTTTTTTATATATTTTTGAGGTCGCTGAATTTGAATCGGGGGTCCCATTTTACTCTATCACGTCAGGCTTTTACCATAACCTCAAAAAACCTAATAATTGAGGCTTTTTTAGCACTTTTTAACGTATATAAGGCTGTAAGTTAAACTTTAAACACAAAATCCAAGCTGCTAACTCCAAATCCTTAACCTTACGACTCCATAAACTCATAACCCCATAATTCAATAGCCACATAACCTTATGTGGCTGTGAATTCTAGCGTTATGGGTTCATGAGTTTATGGGATTATAGGGTTATGGGTTTAGAGTTTAAGTCACAGGCTTATATGCATTAAAAAGTGCTGAAACGCCTCAATTAAAGTATTTCTACTTTGAGGTCTAAAATCATTCTAAAAAATATTTTTTAAAATAGAAAATGTATTTTTTGTTGAATCCTCACTTGTCGTTGATGTCGTCAATGTAGTTGTTTGATTCCCATAGTATAATAAAGTTAGGAAATGGTTTACAATAACATTTTCAGTAATTATAGCATAAATTAGAGGGGAGTGGGGCAAGTGAGTCATAGGGGGCAAGTGCGTCTTTTGGAATAATTCGTATACATAGCTGGGGCAACAATCGGTGCAGTTCACGTACAACAACAAGTGGATGGTGTCTATGAAAATTTACCGGAAAATTTCTAAAACTAAGGTAAATATTTTTACCTAAAAGGGATCAGATTCCGAAGATGATATGCAGTGTTACTTAGGAGCTATTCAGAATAAGGAGATGTCAATCAAGAAAGCTAGCAATGTTTTTAACGTACCGATAACCAGCATACACTCACGATTGAAGCGACAGAGGTAGAATCCGGTTCTAAACCTAGGCAGGTTCAAACCCGTGTTCAGTGAAAAAATGGAAATGAAGCTATTCTATGGACTCTCAACGGCAGATCTTCGACGGATTGCATTTCAGTTTACTGAAGTTAACCAAATCAATCATCCGTTCAATAAAGATCGGAAGCTTGCAGGAAAAGACTGGCTGATATCATTTTTAAAACGTCAAAAAAACCGCTCTATTAGAAGACCTGAAGCAACAAGCATTGCGAAAGTGACAGGATTTTCCAAGCACAGAGTCAATGAGTTTTTAAAATTTAAAAGAGCTTTTGGACAAGTACAATTTCCCTCTGTATCGCATATTTAACTGTGATAAAACAGGAACAAAGGAAGAAAGCAAGTGGGAAGATTAACTTAATTGGAAAGAGAAAAACATACTACATTACTAGCATGTGTTAGTGCTACGGGCACATTCATTCCACCATTTATGGTCTTCCCTCGTGTAAGAATGAACCCAACCTTGTTAAATGGTGCGTTTCCTGGAACAGTAGGATTCCCTGCTCAATTCGGATGGATGGATGCCGACCTATTTGTTAAATTTTTAAAATATTTTATAGACTACACAAACAACCAAAGAGTTTTCGAGCCTACTGATACTAGACGGTCATTCAAGTCACAAGTCCATTGAATCAATAACCCTGGCTAGAAATTCTGGCGTTTCTGTTTTGACGTTACCACCTCATACTTCGAATAGGCTACAGCCCCTTGATGTAAGCGTATTTGGGCCCTTCAAAACCTACCTGGCTCTATAATCACCGAATATGACATGGCTTCTATTATAAATAACGCCCTTATTAAAGCATTTACACCAATAAATATTATGAAGGGTTTTGAAAAAAACAGGAATCTTCCCTTATGACCCGGATGTGTTCCAAGAGAGCGACTTTGAGGAGGCCGAGAACATTCTTTAAAAAGAATCAAATCCAGAAAGCGTCAATCCCTTGGTCAATTCCGTAAACTTGGAAGATGTACCTAATCCAGAATCGCCTGAAGATGACATCCAGAATGATCCTAACATACTACCAGTTTTTTACTAATCTTGAAACCATCTCAAAGGCAAAGCAACTCCAAAACAATTTTAGAACCAGACCAACCGTCATGCAGTTATGTCTCTATCTCAGAATTAAATCCAATACCAAAACCCTGTCAAGAGAAAATAAAAATCAAAGCAAAATCCAGAACAACAGAAGGATCCAAAATAATCACCAGCTCACCTTACAAAGATCAACACGAAGAGAAATTGAAAGATAAATTAAAAACAGTAAAAGCTTAATCAGTCAAAAAGAATTTTAAAAAAGCAGGGCCAAGTTCGTGTCTTGAAAATGTGAAAGAAAAAGAAAACGAGCATCAGCAGCAATGTCAGAGAAAGAGAAAGCCACAATATGCGTTTACTGTCATGAGACATATGGAGACATTTATGACGACGAATGGATTATGTGCATAAAATGTGGTGGCTGGATGCATAAAGAGTGTTCAGATAACGAACCGGGTGCTGATGACTATGTTTGTGACAACTGCCGATGATAATTAGTATAAAGACTCACTTGCTCCAACTGGGTGATTCACTTGCCCCATAACTTGCAATTTTTTTTCTAAGTCAGACCTTTAATTTAAATTTTAAATTTTCCTCATTTTTCAAGGTTAGGTTATGACCTAAAGAATTAAAGTTTATTTTTATTCAATACGCGTTGTTTCATTTCTGCAAGTATAAAAGTTATTAATTGTTTAACCTTAAGGTGTCTCACTTGTCCCACCCTCCCCTATAACTATTTAAAGTTGAAAAAAGGTTTAAAATAGGTAGATATTTTCAATATTACAGATTTTTAATTAAAAGATAATAATTATTGTATTGGAAATTTTCAATTGTATACTCCTTGGTATTCTCGCATTAAAAAATAATTAGGGTTCGCCACGTTATTATTTTTAAGAACGACTTTGTTTTTATAAGCACACAGCGTAGGTTTATTGTCTCCATTTCCTGTGTTTACATTTTACGGTTAGATATGTTTCAATTTTGTGTAAACGCAGGCTTTTAATTTCCTAAGGGTATAAAATACCGGACCTATGGGTATATTGTTCAAATTCCGAAAGCGAAATGACCAACTCGAGTATTTCTTCCATAAACGCTTTAAATGTTTTGAAGCATAGAGGTATCGGGAGAGGATTTTAAAGGGCGCCAAAATTTCTAAAGTCAACGCGGATGATACTCGGCAGAAATGCAATATTTGGATAAAATATTGATAAACATTGAAAAACAGCATTATGTAGAGAACGCGGCATAGATGAACGTTAAAGAGAAACATCGACGTTTGACGTTTCATGTTTCGTTTGACGTTTCGTTTGACGCTTCGTTTGATGTTTTGTTTGACGTTTCGTTTGACGTTTCGTTTCTGCCAAAACAACTACTGAAAGCGCAGTAGCAAAGCCAAAAGGACGTTAGATAATATCTTGACTGATGGAGTTTGACGTGTGAGATGTCAAAATTTAGCTATGTTTTTAGCAGCATTAGATGACCGCAGTAGATGACCATTTTTACCACGCGCACCCAACGATATTGGCGTTCTACAGTTCACTGTCTTTTCCTCACACCTCCAGTATAAATGATTTGACATAACGAAACTAACAATAATTATAATTAATGTAGAGTAGGCTTGTGTTAAAACTGTAAAGAAATTCTAAAACTAAACAGTAATAAGTGTTTAGTGAATTCTAAATAAAATAATTATTATATAAAAGGAAATGTAATTTATCTCCCAATTTTCTTTTGTAATTTCTTTAATTATTGTGTTTTATTTTTATAAATAAACCAACTGGTGAAGTGAGGTTTAATATTAGAAAACTTCCAACGGATACGAATGTTACCGAGCATATCCGAAATCTATAAAGTAGCCACTACCTGCTGCCCTTAAACAACCACAATTAAACACAGGCACAATCTTAAAGTCAGTTTTAGAATATAAACGATCTGCGCATGCTTAGATGTCAAAATAAGAGCAGCACTAATAGTGACTGACCTTAAGTGAACTTGCAATAACTCTCTATTAATATTTGCTAACTTGTTACGTATTGAAAAATATTTCAAATTGGTAAAATAAATTAAGTATAAGCCACAGCTGATACAATTAAAAAAAAAATAATAAGAGTGACGACACTGACAGTCGCAAATCTGCTTCACTGCTTGCAGACGTTGCCTGCGTGCAACTGTGCATTTTAGTGGCGCCTCTTTGCGACCAATAGTTTTTTTAAACCAGCCCCATCTATGCTATAGATGTTTGTAATGATTTACATTCACTACATAATATCTTATTCACACTTGCATTGCGTCACTTGCGTCACACGCGTCAAACAGCCGTTATCCCTTGATAAACTTTTATTGCATGACAGTTCTATAAAGACAAAAGATGGAGCTCATTACCTCGTTGCTAGGAATCAAAAATTTTGATTTGGATTTTGAGTTTTTTACACACATGTCGTTTATTTAACATATCCTCCAATTATTTATTTATTTATGATGGGATCAAATTATATTTAAAAATCCACAATGTTTGAATATTTCATCATAGAATTTACTGTATGATGGTCAGAAAGACAAATCGCACACTCAGTAATAAAGTGGCATAACTCAAAATTTGCATGTTTAAACTTTTAATCGCAAAACAGCACAAAATGGCGCCCTCCATATGTGGAGCTTTTTAAATGACGGTGCTACTCTAACTCAAGACGTATTGCGTTGGAGTAACACCGTCATTTAAGAAATTCTACATATGGAGGGCGTCATTATGGACCGTTTTATGACAAAAAATGTAAACATGCAAATTTGAGTTATGTCACTTTATGACTGAGAGAGCGAAATATTTATATCTTAAAAAAGGATTACCTATATTACCTGTATTTTTATTTTAATTACAACAGTTTGTATTACATATAACCACCAATAATAAATTTAATAGTTTAAAATGAATTGACTTACCGTTTTGTCATTTTCTCTTGTGGAATATCTGTCGATGAAAACTGTTGGATCTCGATTCTTTTGTCTGCATGCGTTGTGTCTTTTTAATTTGGCACAACCACTTCCGGCTGACCTGAAACTTCCGGTGCTGTAAGACGAAGGACGACGAGAGTCGGTGTCTCCTCCTCCAATACTGACACCAATACCACTACCTCCGTCATCCGAGTTGATGCTCTGAGGACGACGTCGACTAAAAAGAAAAATCGAACTTTATTTCTGGAAGACCGTCTTTTATATATTTTAATATTTTTTCAACATTTTATTTTTGTGGGCTATTTGGAACCTACTGCATTTCAAGAGTTTGGAATACTGTTTAGCAGCTATTGTCTCTAATCTAATTCGAAAGTTACAATATTTTATCGTGTTAATACCTCCATAGAATATTTATATACAGGGTATATTCGACCTACAAGGCTCTATCTCGGATAGCTCTCGTTAATTGATGAATTTTGATATATAATCATAATTTTTAAATTTAATCCACCAAGATCTTGTCAAATACAAAAACTATTAAAAATTTAACATATGCTTATTAAATTAGAATTTAGAAATATTTATTCTATATAAATGATATATATACATGCAGCTTAGAAGCAAAATTCTACTACACCGTTAATTTTAGCTCCATAAAAGGTTACTTTTTGCACAAAAAATTAACAGAAAATTGCATTTTTCTACGAACTCTTACAAAAAGACATCGTTCGCCACAGGATACTTTCAGCGAAAACTTGATTTCCGTCACTAGTGAGAAAAAATCCCATAACGTTTACTTTCGTCTCTAGTGACGAAAGTAAGTTGTTACATATTTTCATATATCAGTCGCCTCGTATAATATTTTGGCAGCTTATAATTATTAATAATGAAATAAAAAGATGCTCATTAAATTCTATATGCGTTTTTACCTAAACTTTAATGAATTAAAGATAAAATAAAAATGTATAAAAATAGTGCAAATTAAACCAATCTACATCTAGTTTCCTGGTTTTCATTTGTTTATTTGAAGTTTTATCACTTTTGAGAACTGTCAGTTTCAGTTCGTCCTAAATTTAACACATTTTCATGATGTCTGAGTCAGAAAGTTACGTTCGCTTTTGAAAAGAAAATCTGATGGTTTTAAAAACCAAAAATCCAAAATGTTTTCGCCTGAAGACATAAAGACTTTCCTAAAGAATGCACCTGACTATAAATATTTAATAACAAAGGTAATGGAATTATTATTTTTATTTGAACAAATACTTAATACATAACTACTAATATTTGTAGGTAGCATTAGTTTTTGGATTATCTGGCGCTTGTCGTTGCCACGAACTAAAAGATTTAACAATAAGCGATGTAAAGGATACTGGAAGTATTCTGTTAGTTAAAATCCGTAATACAAAAACAAAAGTTCCGCGTTCTTTTCATATTTCTGGACCCTTTTATGATATTTCTAAAAAATATATGAGCCTACGTCCCGCAAACATGGATCAAATTAATTCAATATTCTTTATTAACTATCAGAATGGAAAGTGTAGCAGACAGGTTGTTGGAATTAATAAAATCAGTAAATTTCCTAACGAAATTGCTCAGTCTTTAACGCTTCCGAATCCTCAAGATTACACTGGGCACTGTTTCCGCAGAACATCCGCAACGCTATTAGTGGATGCAGGAGGTGACTTGCTTCTGTTAAAAAAGCACGGTGGTTGGAAATCTAGTAGTGTTGCGGAAGGATATGTTGATGAATCCACGAACAGTAAAAACCAAATACAAACCAAAATTTTACAATCTGTACAAAATAAGGAAACTACTAGTTCATCCCATTATGGCGCATCATCATCTGAAATGACATTTAACAGTAGAATAAATATGTCGGCATCTACCTCAATAAATAAAAAGCTTGAGTGTGATACCCCCATAATTTTGAACAATTGTTCAAATATAACAATAAATCAATATTTAAATAATAAATAATATTTCTGAAATATTTAATTGTTGGTTAATTTTTTGTTAAATCCCCCATATTTATTAAATTTTTTTTTATACTGGAAGCGCTTCTCCTTTTAGAGATTGATGTTTGTTAAAAATTGTTTGTAAGCAGCGCGCCAATTAATGTGTTCTTTGACAGTTTGCAGGATCTGTGGGCGTGTTGTCTTCTCTTTTTAGCTATATGCATTCGGCATATCGTCTCACTCGTGTTAGGCTCACTCATCATAATGCGCCACAGACACAGTATATTTATGTATACTGTGACACAAAGACGCGATCAGCCAGAGGACAATGATGTACAAAAAAATATAGATTAACATGCATGAAAATAAAAATATTAAAATTAAATTTATATTTTTGTTATTTATGTAATATTAAAATATTGTGTTTTTATGAAATTTAACTGGGAGTTCACTGCACAAATGAACCAATGGAGAAACCGCCCCTGTTCATACTATATTACGCCAATTTTGGCGTTTGTTTGTCCTTCTATAATATTCACTTATTTTAAAAGCAAAAACTTTTTAAAATCGTTGACATATGTATGTATTTATATCTTAAAGTTAGCAACAACAAAATATGATAACATCATTCAACGGCAGCCATCATGGAATTCGGACCAATCAAAGCCAGATAGTAACAAAACACTTCGGCTCTGTTCCCTCAGTTTTTAAAATATTATTTCTATAAGAATATCTTTTTAAGTTTCGGTCAATATATTGATATGAATTTCCGCCCCGGCGTAGCTCTGAGCACCAGGAACAATACTCCTGAGGGTGTGGTTCTCTCTGAAATTTTATAAACAAGTTAAAACTGATAACAATAATAAAAAAAAATATGTTTTCAATCTTCTTCCGGATTTCTGTAATTTCACAATACAAAATAAATTATAGCTTTGCTCCCAGCTGGTATTCTCTGTTGATTTGAATGCTTTTAGAACTTGTAGATTATTGTAAAGTATGTCATTATCAATGACAACTTAGAAAATTAATTCACTGTCAAATAACTTATCAATTCAAAAGTACTTATCTTTTGGATTTATTTTCCTTTGATACGTTCAATTAGTGCGATACTATTTACTTCTTTCAAAATCTGTATCCAATAATAATCAGATTTTCAAAATATCCATTATATATAAAATGATTAATCTTCACTATGATTTTCTGTATATTATAATTTGTTTTCTTGGTACCAAGAAACAATTTTATTACTAAAATTGTTTAATTTTGAGGATCGTTGAAACTTTTGATCCTCCTCTCAATTTGGATGTTACCCACTTTTTTTTAAAACATCTATCCAAAAAATCACAATTACTATAACAACCAATTCAATTTTTTTTTACAAATTTATAACTTAAACACATTTCACATAGTGGGTGATATTCTTCCTGATGCTCAAAGCACACCAATCAGGAATCCATATCAATATATAGACCGAAATAATTCTGAATTTCATTTTAAACCAATAGCATAAATTACGAATAAGAGGCATTGTAAAAATTGCAAAATACTATTATACGTTAAATGATGAAAATTAATATATTTGATATGTTTGTACAAAATAAAATATTAAGTCATCTTCTTGCTTTATTTATTCTATGCTAAAAAGAGGGCCACTTATTCTCTTTATACATAAAAAAATATATGATATTATCTTTAAAACTGTGTCTTCTAGCATTAAAACAGAATGCCTATTTTTAATACAAATTTCCTGCTATTGTCATCGGAGCAATAACTCTTAACCTATTATTGAAAAATAAAAGTACCTGAATAAGATAAACGAAGTAAAAAACACTTTATTTACAAATAATAAAAAATATGTAAACAAGCCTTAACAATAATGGAGATGCACAAATTAAAATTTCTTGTAAAGATTCATTATCAAATTCAACTTGTTATCGATCTCAGTATCAAATGTTGGAGAAACAATGTTCATGTGTAGTTATTGCGTTTATCTCCATAAATAACTAAGATACTAGCTCTCCAAAACACTGTGGAAAAGCCCATATAGGTGGTAGTAGTGGTGATGAGTAAATTAAAGGATATTTTTGTCCCGTATTCAAACATTTCTGTTATTTGTACTTAAATTACACCAATAATACAGACAAACGCAATAATGTTAACATCCTTTCTTGTCTTAGGTACAATAATGATCTAAAATAATTTTATTTTGATGTAGTTATATAAACTTAACTGTTATTTTATTAGAATCTTGTAAAATATAAAACGCAATCCACCTACAGGAATTCTTAAAGTTTAATCCGAACGACTCGAGGGCGCTCACTGGAAGCATACAAATCTAAAAAGATTGACTCGAAATTCAGAGCTGGAGCTGAGTTCTAAATTATGTAACTATCCCAAACCGGAAGTGTCGGATCGAATCAAATGGGCGAATAAAACTTTCTGAGGTATCTAAATTGCGTTTTCGCGGTGGGTCCTAAAATAAAACTGGTTTGGAAAAATATCAAATGGAACTGAAAACTAATGAAAATACGAGTATTCATCATAGAAATAATATAGGAGACCAATATAAATATAATATTTAAGCAGAAATTGAAACCTAATGTGCATAAAAATGCGTTTCTGCGCCTGACATCGCAAAATAGTGTGTCTAGAAGCATTCGCAGTATGCATGACTTATCCCTGTAATGTTGCCAAATATACAGGGTGTCCCAAATAAGAGTGATCGATTTTAAATGTAAATGCACATCTTATTAATTATTGCTCTAAAGCAGTGGTAGCCAACCTGTCGATCGCGAGCTACCGGTAGCTCGCGAAGGCAATTCTGGTAGCTCTCACAACGATTTTAATTTAAAAAATACAAACTGTAAAAATCAGAGAAGCTTCCGAAAATTCCACAAAAAAATCTAATTGTCATAATATTAAACATAAATAGCGGCAACGTTGCGGTGAGCGATCTGCCGCTGACGCCATCAAGCTAGAATCGGCTAGAACCGACCAGCCGGACCAGCGCGTTAGTGTTCGAGAACGATCAGGATTGCTTTGAACGGGATTATACTGCAAACATTAAAAAAATTATCGATGAGTCTGAGTGTCAGCCTTTTCATTGAACGTGCTTTTTTATTTTTCAATGTTTATGTTCATGATAGTACGTTACTTTTTTGTTGTTATTATTAACTATTTTTAAATCTTACGTGACATGCCGTTGTGGCTGGATAAGAGTTTGTGTTTATTTTTCAAACACCTTCGTTTGGTAGGTAGGAAT